TGCTTGATGGCAATTAGTGGTGAATTGTTGGTGAGGTTTTTAATCTGCTAACATTCAGATAAGGGCAAGCAGCCAGCACCACGCTCAGTGAAGTTTTCCATCTGCCTGAGCTTTGCAGTATTATGAGGAACAGTGTTATTTCAACTGTGAAAAAAGTGGGAACAAAAACCAAAAAAACTTTTATTGTACAGATTTCAATGGCTCATTCATCTGGTAAAAATCAGTTAAATTGGCTTGCTTTTCTTATGTCCAAGTCTTAAAAAAAAAAAAAGAAAAAAAAAGAAAACAGAACACAAACTAACATTCTTCCTTGACCTGGTTATCTTTTCAAGCCTTCAATTTATGCAGTTCCAAGTAAGAGACATCCCTGTTTCCTGACTACACGATAGAGAACGAAGATTTTAGTGTGCTGCCTCTGAGGACCAATTCCACCACACTAGCAATAACTGAGTGTATGGGAAGAGCTAATGACCATGAAAGACAAAGCAAAGGTTTACGTGTCCCTTGAATTACAAAGCTCAGCTCAATGAGGGTTTCTCTGTGTCCTGAGAACCTAGGCTTAAGTATAGCTAGTTAATTTGCTATTATATTCAACCTTGCCCTTTCACGTAACGCCTCTCATCCATAAGCCTCAAAGTTCTTTAGAAAGAAAATCGGTGTTTCACAGGTAAGGTTGTCTTGCCAAGGTCAGGTACTGACCTCATGGCAGACTGACAGCTGGTATCCAAGTTGCCTGACTTCCCAGTAGTTCAGAACACAGTCCACCAGGCAACACCGGTCTGTGTGAAACACCAGTTAGATATGGTTTATGTGCAGGGGAGAGACTGACAAGCAGCCATACAGGTTAGGCAATTTGCCATAGATGGGCTGTGCTGCTACTGCGGTAGAAAAGCATCTTATTTCCCCTGGCCCTACCTCTTCTTGCACATAGAGTAAATGTATACGGCTATATGATTAAAACATGAGAGCACATTAGACTGAAGAAAAGATGCATACTGGGAGCATCATTTATTTATTTCTGAGTGTGTTTTAGCATCCCCTTAGCTGGTAAGTAGCAATAAAAATGTAACATATATGCCATTTTTCCATGTCAAGCAAGAAGATGTGTTGAGTAAAAGGAAAGTGAGGCAGGCTATAAAACAGAGGAACAAAGATTGTTTCAGCTAAATGTCTAGTGCTTCAATAACAACATGCTGCTGTTGCCTCCACTTCCCTAGCAATACTGACAGGTTTTTTTTCCAAAATGACTGAAACTGCCAGTTTGAACAGTCTTTGTTGGGAGTTTTACTAAAACAAGTAAAATAAAATAAAATTTAAAAAAAAAAAAGTGTTGACTCAGAAGTCTGCAAGTCTCATCAGAAGAAATGATTGCTTGTTGCTGCCCAGGTCCTGGATTCAACCCTGAGTACAAGGCCAGCCCACAGGAGGAGACGCAAGGGCAGCAACACACAAACTAAAGGATACACAAATAAAATCTGCCCATCAGGGCCAGCTGCTCCCCAGGAAATCTGCCCACGTTACCCCAAGCCAGTCACTCAGTTTCATACTGAAGGTGTGATTCAATCAGCAGCGTGCCATTTCAGATCCGTGCCTGGCTGATGCTCCCACGCTACAGCCTAAGTGCTCCACAGCTATTCTGCTCTCTACACCTTCACTGAGCTCCAGCAATCACAGCAACGCTTCTTGGGGACATAGCAGGGGAAAAAAGGCAAGACATTTCATGTGACAGCAACAACAGAACCACAACAAGCCAACGGCGCTTGTGCTTGAGCCCCCTTTTAAGGGTGCTAGGCACCAGCACAGATGGGGCTGCCGCTGCCTGCTCAAAGAAGTTTATAGTTTGAACTTGACTATCAGACAAACCATACAAAGCCTGAACTATCAGCCTGCGTTTTGCATTTTCATGACCTGCACCCACCTGTACATTCTGACAACACCAGAGAGGACTCTGCACCTCCTATTTCGGCGATATTAGCCAGTTAGCCAGTCAGTGGTGTTTCACATTAAGGGATGTTCACTTTCTATTCTAACCAATATTATTTTTGTACACATTCATTTACCAGAGGACTTACGCATTCATTTTTGTCCTGTACACATCCAAGAAAAGATCAGGATATAAAGTATGTTTCACAAGCCAGATGTTCAATTAGAACTGAACATCCACTATGGTTGAAAACAGGCTAACGAGTCAGTCAAGAGGAAAATATTCCTAGCTTGGATTTAAAAGCTCCACAGCATTTTAGACACCTAAATGAGCAATTCTACAGCTTATATAGATGTTAATCAGATACCAGATACAGAATTCAAAGACTCTGACCTGCATGTAAAGTATGTTATAGTGCAGAGTCTTGAATTCTTAGATAGCTACAACCTACACACTCCTTTACAAGACCAGAGCTAAGATCCAGGGTAGAAACACACAGTGAAAGAAAGATGGAAGCAACACCCTCCATGAGAAGATCTGAAAAAACAACAACAAAAAAAACCAACCCAAAACCTGTTCTATCCTATTTCTGCAGAAATCAGGCAGTCATGAGTTATTGTTTCCATGCTGCTGATGAGGGGGACAACTGCAGGTGTTTAAAACAGAGGCCCTGAGCCCATGTTACCCTTCAGGCTTTAGCTTTTCTGAGGAAACAGGCAGAGAGGGGAATTTAGTTTGTTCTCTCAGACCACATTCTAATTTACAGCCAGCCCATATACCAGCCATATCTAATTTAGCCAAGTTTTTCTCTGGGAACCTATAACCACAGATAGTTACTGAAACAGAAATAACTTCTCCAAAGAAAAGCACACCCAAAGGTACGTAGGGTTTAGGGAACTGACTTAACACAGCACCTACTCTGACAGGCATTTCTCCATACAGCTTTCTCCTACTATGACTCCAGCAGATATGATTTATTACCCCATCTCTGACTTTGAAGGAAAAAAAATTGCATTGGCGATAGCATTGGTCCTTCACATACATCTGACCTGCAAGCACAGAAGCTTTCTCTTGAACAGACAGCCTCTTCCAGCCCAACCAAATCCCATTCTGTTCTAAAAGCTTCAAAATTTTTTCCTTATTGTTGCCTAGAGAGAACCAGTCTGAGCAAACAACTCGGTCCTTGTCTGAACTCTGCAGAAGTTGGACAACAGAGGATGACTTACCTGTTTTACCTTCTCTGCTCAAATGTGCAACCACCTCCTTGACATTCTTATACAGTTACGAAGCAAGTGATACTCAAATGAATGAAGGAGATCTATATGCAACATTCATAAGTACAGGCATCTTCCTAGTTTGCTACAACCATAACTCAACTTCCTCTGTGCAGCTGTTTATCTCTGGTGAGGCTGATTTACAGCTGGCAAAGCAGAACTTGCTGCTTCTACTTGTGTGATAAAATCTAATTCAAGTGGTGCACTAGTACAGTTTCTCAGCAATTAATTTCCTCAATGTTTAAAACTAAACCAAAACATGCCTTTATGCTCCGACTGTTGTATTTGTTCCATTCTGCTTCCCTCTAGAAGAGCTGCACCTTTGCACATTGCTGTTTTTTTGTTTGAAAGACCACAAGAGGATTAAACTAATTTAAGGTGAATAAATTTCTCAAGGTAGAAGTTCTCGTACTTCTTCAGCCAGGGGAAATTTCATAGCAAAATAAAATTCATTTTGAGTCTTGACCATGAGAAACAGAAGATTAATTTGAAGAAAATAAATTTGTGACTTTATACTCAAATGAATTGTCTGTTCAATGTTGTCAGACTTGCAGAAAAAGCAAGCTGTATGCACCATATCAGCTAAGCATGAGACATTTATACCTAAAATGTTAGTTTTCAAAAGTAAGTAAGAGTTAAAAAAGCAACACCGGAAAAAGGCTAAGAATAAAACCCAACAATGGTTTCCAGGCCGTATTAGTTCTATAAACGCCTGATCTTTATAGCCTAAGCTTCCCCCTTCCTTGTCCCAGATATTGATGAACAGGAGGAAAACACAGAAACAAAGCATCACAGCTCTTCCTTAACAGGTCACTTCCGAATATATTAAAGACAGTCTCTTGAGAAAGTCACCTACCTTGCATGGAGGAAGAGGGGAAAAAGAGAGTGCCAGGACTGTTGACTGACGCAAGCACATCTCTCTTTACGAGAGGTGCAGCGGTCACTTCCGAATATATTAAAGACAGTCTCTTGAGAAAGTCACCTACCTTGCATGGAGGAAGAGGGGAAAAAGAGAGTGCCAGGACTGTTGGTTGATGCAAGCACATCTCTCTTTACGAGAGGTGCAGCTTTCAGCCCTCCTCTCTCTGCTGGCTGGCTGTTCACTCACATCTTTTCCACGGCTTTTATGCAGGAACCTTCCACGTTGCTCACCATCTTCCCCGCTCATCCACATCTCCCCTTTCCCCCTTCATTTGCTTCCCTTAATTTGCCCCTCTTATGCTTCCACCGCACAGTTCATGGGATATGCCCCTTTTATCTGAGGTGTCTAAGACTTACTAGGTACTGCTCAACCGCTTGACTAGATGTTGCATCTGTTTGAGAATGTCCAGGGCCCTACATAAGGCACATTCTTCCTATGCAGTGCCTCTGTCACATCAGACAGGACTGTCAAAGCCTACTGGAACATTTGAATGTCCTTCTAAATATCTGAACATGCTCCAAGCTCTACCCAAGCCACAGGAGCACACTCATTACAAAGAGAGTATCACTAGCAGCGCTGCTCGGAACAAAATTTCCTAGCAAATTTCAGAATCAATTTAATTAAATCTTATCTGCATTTATTCACTGCCACTACGATAAGTAAAGGCACTGATATGAGAACAACTGAAAAATGGAGAAATTAAAAAGTGACACTCCAAACAAGCTGTAATATTTCTTCTTTTCCTTTCCTGCTCCTTTCCTGGCACAGCAATGGTATGATCCCTCTTTGAACAGGAATATGTATCTCATGAACTCAGCTGTAAAAACACGCTTCTGTAACCAAAATAAGTATCTTTCATAACTAAGCCTTCAATACTCACCCAAAGTGTTTGTTGCAAAGTTTTTTTCAAGTCCATCTTCAGTTAATTCTCTGTTATTCACCATACATCCTGCATTGTTGATCTGTAAGACAACTCCTGTAAACAAATAATCTACACAAACTTCTACAAACAAAACTAAACATACTGGCAGTCCCATGTTAGTTTGCTGTTTTCTGATTCTGCAACACAAAGCTACAAACTGTTTCAATAAACCATGCTATTCCAAACCATGCTGCTCTGTCACTGAGCATAAAGATTTATCACAAAAGAAAGTGCAATACATTTCTCGGAAGATCCTAAGAGCCAACAGTCATCTTAGTGCCTTCCTCCACGTTTTTAAACTCTTTTCTCACAGTAAGTTATATGCAAGTTGTAGAGCAGATATCAGAACATTAATATGCAGTGTAGTTTGTTAGTCTCATCTGAGAAAGCACACTGACCCCATATCATCCACACCATGTGGCGATGTATTCTTAGTTAAGGAAAAATTTGCTATGGGAAGGTGTGCAACATGCAGTAGAATGGCCTGCAGGAACTCCCACCCACAGCAAATTAAAAGAATGAGCTCCAAACTTGGCAGATTAGCCAGGTCAGCAGCTTGCTGCATCCTAGTTAGCCCAGAGAACAGCAGAGCTAACCAGCAGATGTGCTTCGTACCGACTTTGTGCCCTGGTTGTAGGGACCCCAGCTTTTCTCTCTGCCTGGCAATCCTGCACGGATACCCCACCTGACTTGCAAGTTGCTAGAACAGCACTGCACCACACAGCATGGATGCACTGTAAGTGAAAACCCCATGAACAGTCAGAAGCTTGAAAGCTGTGTGCAGCTAGCATATTCTCAGACCCACTTCTTTCTCTGCCTTACTTTCCAAGGGAAGCTTGACCTTTTGTTTCCCACCCTGAAAACATATCTGCCCCTACATACCTTCCTGCTTGTCCACTGCCACTCCTCAAACATTATTTTCCCATTTATATCAGAATTTCCTGATCTAGTAAGCATCAAGACTACTGCTCCAGGTGCCTCAGTTTTAGTACAGGCCCCTTTGCAGCCATGATGCTTAACTGTTTGCTCCCTCCCTGGCTCTGTTTTAGACTGCTCTAACTTTCTATAAAGGTTTAACCTTTAAGAAGGACTATCTTTAAGAGGGACAAAGTTATTTGTAATGACAGTCAAACAGAAAATGTGTGGTAAGAACCTCAAATTGCAACTAAAAAATTACTGCTTTTCTCTCCTTTTTGTGGCATATCTCTGTACGTGAACTGAGAATGGACAAGAGCAAACAGACCACGGAGACTGTTGCAAAAACATTTAGAGAAGATTAAGTAGAGAATTGTGGGCCAAATTGTGAAATCTACACTACCTGCTGGACAACTTCATAGGCTATGCACTCCAAAGACAGACACATGATTTAAGCATGCAAACTTACCAACACATTTAATTTATGTTCATTTTTGAATTTTTCAGCAAAATTCCAGATTTCCTTGGGATTAGATATATCCACAATATGCAAAAAGATATTCTACAGGAAAAAAAAAAAGTAAGTCTCAATCAACAGGGACAGTGAAGAGATTCTGTTCATTGTTAAGACGTGTCTAAGTGAAAAAGTATTTAAGCAGTATGAAAAAACATTATCTCCAGAACACAACTAAAACACTTACGTTAACATGCACAACTGGGAAATCTAATTCTAGTCCTGAAAACATGCTTAGTCACTCAATTCAGTTGCTTCTGAGCCACAGCTTTTTAAGGCCAAACTCATTAAAAGAGAGCCCTACTTAGATAAATATATGTGACAGACAGTCAGGCATAGCAGAAAATCAGCAAAATATTGTAAAGCCTGCAAAATTTCTGTTTAAACAATTCATACAGCAGCTTCCTCTTTAGCTGAAAGCAACGCTCAAGGTCACAGCACTGGAGAATAGTTTAGGTTGGAAGGGACATCTGCAGGCCACTTGGTCCCACTGCCATCTCAAGGCAGGTAACAGATCAGGTTGTCCAGTAAGTTTTATTTCCAAAGATGGAGATTCACCAGCCTCTCTGAGCACCCTGCTCCACTGTTTGACCACCTCCCTCATGGTGAAAAAAAAAAAAAAAAATTCCTACTATCTAGTCAGAATTTTTCCCTGTTACAGTCTGTGTCTGCTGCCTCTTGTCCTTTCACTGCAGACCTCCAAGAGAAGTATGGCACTGCCTCCCCTACATCCTCCCATCACGTTGCTGTAGACTACAGCAAGACCCACCTCAGCCTTCTTTTGTCAACACTGACCAAAACCAGCCATCTCAGCTCCTCCTTGCACATCATGTGTCCCATCTCCCTAGTCACCTTGGCAGCCCTCCGCTGGACTCACTCCAGGACACCGAGGACTTCCTCCTCCTGGGGAGCCCAAAAATGGGCACAGGACTCCTGCTGTGGTCTCACAAAGGCGTAACAGAGACGAAGATGCACTTCCCTGAGCCTGCTGGCGACACTCAAGTTCCTACAGCCTGTGGTGTGGTTGGCCCTCCTTGCCCCGGGGCACACTGCTCACTCAGGGACAACTTGTCACCCCCAGGACCTTTTCTGCAAAGCTACTCTCCAGCCAGCTACACCCAGCCTGTAACTGCCCCATGGTGTTACTCCATCCCAGAGCAGGATTGTGCCTCTGCTCTTGGTGAACTTCATGAGGTTCGCGTCAGCCCATTTCCTCACCTGTTAAATCCTCCTGAATAGCAGCGCTGCTCTCCAACTCCTGCCCTCCATTTGAGATCATCTGACAAATTCTGCACTTCACTCCATTGGCCAAGTCGTTAAAACGGACATTAAACAGTTTTTGCCCCTGTATTGACTCGCGGAGGATGCCATTAAAAATTTGTTAACAGATCAGCTTTCTACTGTTGATTGCTACTTTGAGCCAGATATTCCAGACAGTTTTCCACCCAGCTTGTCATCCACCGCTTCAAACCACATGTCTCCTCAACTGCCTACAAGCATACTATGTCAGACCACGTAAAAAGCCTTTGAAAAGTTAACAAGTGGCAAGCTTTGCTCTCCTCTTGTCCACAGGTAGTCATCTCACCAAAGGCAGTGATGAGGGTGGTTTGCCCTTGGTAAGTCCACATTGTTTTTTCTCAATTACCTTCCTGTCTTTCATGGCTTCCATTTGCTCCACAGTTTTCCTAGGGAGCAAGGTCAGGCTGACTGGCCTGTGCTCCCCAAATCCTGCTTCCCTTTTTTGAAGATGAGTGGTTTGCCTTTTTCCAGTTAACAGGAAGCACCTCCCACTTTGAGGAGGTCTCCCTTGAAGATCAAGCTGCTTTCCCCAAGGCCTTTTGCTCTTCATGGCTGTCTCCCATGGGAACCTGCCAACCAGGTCCATAAAAAAAGACAAAATCTGCTTTCCTAAGACTGTAATTCTACTACTCATCCTTCTTGCATGTCTCAGTCTTAAATTCCACAGTCTTATGGCCACTTCCACCAAGGCAGCTATTCAAGACTGCTGTTTATGAAAGGTCCAGCAGAGATCACCCCCAGCTGGCTTGTCCAACACTCGTATCAAAAACTTGTCCTCAATGCTCTCCAGAAATCCCCTGGATCGTTTATGCCCTGCCATGTTGCCAGCACACACCAGGGTGGTTCAAGTATTCCATGAGTACCAAGATCTGTGATCACGAGGCTCCCTCAGCCCTCGAAAAAAGACTCCATCTACTTTCTCTACTTCATCAGGCAGCCTGTAGTAGACACCCATCACACAACCCACATTGATCTGACCTCTCTGCCTTACCCACAAGCTCTCAACTGGCTCATTACCCGTTTCAGAGCAAAGCTCCATCCATTCAAGCCACTCCTTTGCATAAAGCACAACTCCTTCTTGTCTTCCCAGCTTGCCTTTTTAAAAGGGCTTGTATACATCCACTCCAGCACTCTAGTCATTCCAGCTGTATCTCTCTAATCCCAGTGAGACCACAGCTCTGCAACCATGCATGGATTCCTGTGTTTCCTATGCAATGTATATTCATGTACAGGCATCCAAGATGGGCTTCCAGTCATGTTGCTTTCACATGAAAACTGTGAAAGCCTCCTCCATTTTACTGTTCCCTAGACACATACTCACTGTCCCCATGACTCCGTTACTCTTCTCAATTTGGTCACTATCCCCCAAGGAAATCAGTTTAAAGCCCTCCTCACTAGCTTAGCAAACCTGTTGGCAAAGATACTCTTGCTCCACTTTGGCATT